CTGAACATTAGTAACTCATTTTGGATCTTAGCCAGTTGCTAAGTTTACACCATAAAATGTATAAATCACACACATAAACTAGCCCATATGTGGAATTTGTGGTGATATTGTGTAACTTCCTCAAACATTTTCTACTACAGTGCACTTTTTATTTGGTGTCCTCCCTTTCCATTTTCATCTGATAGACAGTTTTTCTGATGAGTTGACTTCGTGTTTAATGCACAAATCAGAGAGGCTCCAGAAACGTAACAATTGTTAGAAACGACCCATACATACTTACCAACGTAAGGAGTTGGATTTGCCCCAGGAAGACGGTGGTGCAGGCAGAGGGTGAGACAGTGGATACTGGAGGTGCTCTCCTGGTTCTGGGTCTTTCAGGGGATGACAGCGCTTGGGTGGGTAGGTGAGTGGGTGGGTTATGCCTCTGACAAGGGAAGAAACTTCACAGACCCTTATTAACAGTAAAAAGCAAGAAAGACTTCGACCATTTGCTCCTGTCTGAGATCAGGTTCCCCAGAGCCGACCCTGAGATGAGAATTCAAGTTCAAGGGATCAAGGAGATGTGCCAAGGAGAAACCTGTAAGAACGTGGGAAAGCAAGGTAGTGAAAGAGTAGACACCAGGCAAGGGTGCAGGTTCAGGTGAGGTCCCAGCCTCAACCTGAACTCACGGGGGCTCTGGAACATTCATGACACTGCAGAGTTTGTCCCACCTGGAGATGAGAAAATAGGTTTTGAGACTCCTGCATTGGCTACTGGTCACCCCAGGGGTACTTGAAACTCCCTGAGAGTTGGAGCAAAGTAGCTCCCTGCTCACAGGTCCCCCGAAGCAGGTTTGTTAGGAGTAAAGTACAGTCAGAAGCTGCTGGATGAGGTTCCCAAAGCCAGCAAAAGGCATCCAAAGGTATCGGGTGGAGCACCTATACCATCTGCTACAGCGATCTTGCCAGCTAAGAACCCCTAATTACGTATTTACTTACCAGAGGTGCTGGGGATTGAACCCAGGACCTCATGCATACTAGGCATGCGCTTTACCACTGAGCTATACCCTCCCCCCATACACTTAAGCTGTTTCATTGCCTTTACTGGAGGAAAAAAAAAGTTTTACACTGTCTTTCCTGTCATTTCTGATAATTAATGCTTCCATAGTTTCTTTTTTCATCTTTAGTTAACACACGTGGCTACTGTCACACACACTATTCTTAAATAATTAGCCTCACCAGCTTCTTTTCCTTGAGTGTGTCCAATAATTAATATAGAATCATGTACTCCACCTTTCATGTTAGGTCATGGAACTGTGTGCAGGTCAATACCTTGTTATTCATGTACAATTGATTGTGTTATGAGCCTTATGCTGGAAGGACTGACCACAAATTTTGCTGACCTTTTGAAAGGTCCTAAACCACCTGCGATCTCTTATCTACCTATTAATTTCTCTCTCTTAGATTTATTTAGTCCAGCTAAGGAGTAATTTGAAATGGAGATTACTCTCAAGACTCACGGCCACATTAGCCTACGGTTGTCAGAAAATCTGGTCCATGAAGGAGACTCTGTTACCCTTGAAAAAGACTGATTCTATCTATCACTATTAATGGAGGTCATTGTGCCACTGAGATGTAGCCGGAGGTAGAGATGTGCTCTTTCACGATCTATTATCCTTTTAAATTTAACACACTCTGTGTGATGCTGTAAATGCGTAATCGGTGT